TCCCGGGCTTGTGGGCTGAGCTCCAGCGCGGGGCTAGTTCACCAGACACTGGCACGGGGCTTTCTGGAGGGCGAGGACACGGGCCGGTCAGTCACCGGGCGGGTCCCCTGGCATTCAGTGGGGGCTCCCCTGGGCCTGGAGGACCAGCTGTAGGGGCGTGCACAGGGCGCAGGGAGGCTTGTCAGCCAGGGTCTGCCTGGGCGCCGGGCAGCTGTCACCATGGAGCTGCAGTCCCCAGCACACTGCCCGTCAGCAGCCACGTGGCACAGCCCCGACCTCGGCCTCTGCGTGTCCTCGTCTGCTCACAGGAAGCCACACTCCTCCGGGACTGTGCAAAGGGCGTCCACACAGCACGCCGTGTGCGTGGCCAGACAGCGCATCCACGTGGCGAGCGCGGCCTCCGCAGGCTGGAGTGGACGGCCAGTAGTGGCTGCCACATGCTCTCACCCTGGACCCCGGGCTGAGCCAGGCGGCTTCAGCACAGCAGCCTCACCCCGAGAACGTCCCCAGACCCCACAGAGACCACACGGAGGCCCACCCCGGACATGGCAGGCCCTGGTGTCTGCCCGCTGGCTGGTCGGCCGCACCTGGCAGGTGCTAGAGACACGTGGCTTGAAGGCACCGCCTGGGGCCAGGGCCTGGGGCCGCACCGGCACCGTCGGGCCCCTCAGCACAGGCCGCTGGCTGTCTCCCCAAGTGCCGGCTTCCTCAGGAATTGCCACCATGCCACCGGGGATGACGGGTCAGGGACGGCTCTGGCTGCCATTAATCCTCAAGGAGTCCCACGAGACCAAGCCACGGGTGACTGTATGGACAGCGAGGGCAAGGCCAGTGTGGGCACGGCACTCGGGCAGGCTCCGGCCATGGCCGTCCTGGGCAGGGGCGCCCTCTGCTGGCGGGGGCTCCACCCACAACCTCTGCGGATCCCAGGGGACAGGGCCAGTGTCTCCCGGTGCAGGGGGCAGAGCGCGGTTTGAGTCCTGGATGGGACACGGAGGCTGCAGAAACAGCAGGGACCCGCAGACCCAGCCACGGGAGGTCGGAAGAGTCAAGTCCGAGTCGCTGCAGCCCCGGGACACAGTGCAGAGCCGACACCACCGGTGAGGACCGCCTGTGCTCCCTGAGCAGTGACCTCAGCCTGGGGCACCCTCTGTGGGTGGGACCCCAAGAATCGGACTCCAAGCTGCTGCGAGCCCAGCCCCAGACAGCCTCTCACGGCAGCCAGAGTGGCACCGCGGCCAGGGCCCCTGCGTCCCTCTGGAATTTCCCTGCACACGCAGACACACACAAAGAATCCTGATGCTCACGGCCAGCAGGGGCCGTGGCGGTTAAGGCACTGGACTCCCACATGGCAGAGCGCGGTTTGAGTCCTGGATCTGGCAGCTTGTTTTTCACTTTCCCTTTTGTCTCTCTCTATTCAAATTAAAATAATAAAAATAATGATGAATAAAATTAAATAATTATTTATATTGCCAAATTATTTTTAAATTTGCATTTAATCACCATATATCTTTACAGTTTATAACATAGTTTATTTAAATCATTCTTTTTAAAAAAATTAAGAAGGGGGCCATGCCATGGTGGTTAAAGGCCCTGGACTCCCACATGGTCAACCACGGTTGGAGTCTTGGACCTGGCGGCTTGCTTTTTCAACTCTCTCTCTCTCGTTCTGTCTCTCTGTGGTCAAATTAAAAAATAAATCCGGACCAGCAGTTGGCATAATGGCTATGTTGGACTCCCCATGTAGTCAACCGTGGTTCAAATCCTGGACCTGGTGGCTTAAACTTATGCCGGGCACGCGTGCGTGCGTGCCCAAGATCCTGAGAGGAGAGCAGAGGAGGAGGGATTGCGGCGTGGCCATCCCCCCGGGGGGGGGATGTCTCTCTGTCTCTCTGTCTTTCGGGCGAGCACATGCACCGTATAACAAAAACGTCTCCAAATAAATAAATACATAAAGTTAAATAAAATAATTCTCTAAAAGAAAAAATTTTAAAGAACCCTGGAGCTCGGCTTACACACACTATGTATGCCAGGGGTTGACACGCGTGCCCGCGGCCCACAGTGGGTGCATGCTCTCAGTGCTCAGCCAGGTCCAGACCCAGCTCTGGGCCGATCCTGACACCTCCGTGAACAGCGAGCATGCGTGCTGCCTCTCAGTTCTTAGTCCCTGAGGATGGTCCCTTGCCCCCACCCACGTCACGGGGCCGAGACCCTCACCCAGCACACAGGTGAACATCAGGCATGGCAAGACGTGACAGTCGGTGTGACCTCTGGGAAGGCAGGGGTTAGCGTCTGCACACCGCCCTGAGGACGCAGGGCCTGCACACACTGTCCAGGCCGGCTGAGACGGGTGGTCCTGGCAGAAAGGCTGCCAGGGCTGCGGCATGCATATCTTCCTCACGGCAAAGACAGAGACGTGCGCTTGGCCGACACGCACAGGCCGACACGTGTGTGGACGAGTGTGTGGGGAGCTGCCTCTCCGCTCTGCCCACAGCCCTCCCGGGGCAGAGGGCACTCTGCTTGCCCCTGTGACCCAGAGAGGTGCCACCTGCACACAGCCCTCCCCTCCCCTCCCCTGTGCCCATCAGACCCCAAGGTGGGGGAGAGGCTGGGCCTTTGGGACCCACTGGGTCTGCGGGCAGGACAGGATTGGTGCTTCTGAGAGGCCTTGAGCCCTCCCACGCGGTGGCAGCCTGGCAGACTGAGCGCGAGTCCGTGTGCTCAGCAAAGCTCCCAGCGCACGCTCGGCTGGAAGGCGTCCCTCAGGCTCAGATCTGCGTCCCCCACACCTGGTTCTGGGCCTGCCCCTGGAGGGGAGAACCGACCACGGGCTTGTATGCTTGTTATGTTTCTTACACAGGTCACTGAGAGACAGACAGAGACGGAGATGGAGAGACAGCACCACAGGCTCTGGCCACCACAACCCAGGCCAGCCCAGACGGTGGCACACACGCAGCCAGGGAGGGCCCGGGCTCAGCCTGCAGCTCCCCGGAGGTCGGCCTGGAAGAGCCTGTTTCCCAACGCCCTGGAAGCTGCCGGGCCACGTGGAGGAAGCCGGGGTCTGCGTGCAGCTCCTGCTCCGCCCGGCTATCTGGAGAGCCCTGCTCCCCCATCCCCGCCAAGTCGTCCAGGTGCCGGGCAGTGCCAAGGCCTCAGCCCACCAGGCCCAGTGAGCCAGGATAGGGCTGAGCTCCCACACCGCAAGACACGCTAGGGGAGCACGGGGAGACGGGGAGAGGCTGGGGAGACGGGGAGACAGGCAGAGGCTGGAGAGACGGGGAGACGGGGAGACGGGCAGAGGCTGGGGCAGGCCGAGGGAGATGGGGAAAGGATGGGGAGACGGGGAGAGGCTGGGGGAGGGAGGGGGGGGGGGGGGGGGGGGGGG